AAGTACAAAGAGTACTTGATCTAGGTTGTTCCTCACTTCTCTCAGTTCAGATTTTGTGGCTAGCATAACTAGATGCTCTCCCTCTCCTCTCTTTTCTTCTCTCAATTTTGGCTTGTGGCTCTCACTCACCGAGTTGTGGATGGCACTCATTTTCTTTTGCTCTACTCCTCCTTTACTCACTGGACCAATTTCAGATTTCTTTTGTAAGTGTTTAGCCATGATTTGTTGAGATGTCATAGGCTTGAGTACAAACTTCTTCCCTTTCAAATCTAGTGTGTACTGATTTGTCCTCCCACAATGCTAAGTGTACCAGTCATATTGCCAAGGTCTTCCAAGCAGCAAGTGACACACCAATATGGGTGCCACATCACACTCTACCATGTCATATACTCACCAATCTTGAATGGAACTTTCACCTTATATCCAATCTTAATATCTTCCGAATCATTCAGCCATTGGACATGATATGGATAAGGATGTCACTGTAGCTTCAAACCAAGCTTATCAACCATCTCACGACTAGCAAGATTATGGTAGCTCCCGCCATCAATAATCACATTCACTACTTTATCTTGTACTTTTGCTCTGGTTTGAAAAAGATTATGTCGCTGTCCAATTTCAGCTTCTTTCATTTGAACACTCAAGATTTGTGCCACCATAAGAGCAGCACCATGCTCAAATTCACATCTAGTATGTTCCTTATCTTCATAGACTTCATCAACATACTCTTCCTCAACTTCCTCTTCACTAAGAATCACACAATTATTTGGACACTCCTTGATTACATGCCCACGGCCTCCACACTTGAAGCATTGAATCCCACTACTCTTGGATGTAGACCCACTAAAGTAGAGGTGGATGCTACTGGTTTAGAACTCATTCTTGGGGCAGCAGCATTCTTCCCACTAAAAACACCTTGAACATTAGAACAGAAGCCTCCACTTGAGCTCTTCGCCATTGAGGGTGCAGCAGTAAACTTAGAGATTGACTTGCTTCCTCCAGACACAGTCATCGTACCATATGACAACGGCTTGCTGCTCTTGGCATCTTACTGCAATTGTCGTTTAGCTTTGGTGACTTGATGTACCAAATCAATAAGATGTCGGTATGGCTGAAACTCAACAATACGCTGAATATTGCGATGTAACCCAACCATGAAACGTGCAATAGTTTGCTCTTCATCTTCATACACATTGGCTCTAATCATAGCTTTCTCTATCTCTTTATAATACTCCTCAACAGAGAAACTTCCTTGCTTCAGATTCTGCAGTTTATCAAAAAGATCATGGCGATAGTGCTTCGGCACAAAACGAGTTCTTATTTCCCTCTTCATTTCTTCCCAAGTGGCAATAGGATTTTCTCCGTCTTCTTCACGGTCATGGAGAAGTTGCTCCCACCATATCAGAGCATATCCTTCAAACTCCAGAGATGCCATTGCCAACTTCTTCTCCTCTGTATAATTATGCAGGCGAAAGATCTTGTCCACCTTCAACTCCCAAGTGAAATAAGCTTCAGGATCAAACCGTCCATCAAAATTTGGCATGGTAAACTTCAGTTTTCCAAACCTCTCCTCATGGTTGACTCCTCTATGATGTCGGCGACCAAAACAATATTGGGAATGATGATCATCATCCTTATCTTCATATTCATCATTGTCATCATTTCTTCGACCTCGACCTCTTCCTCTACCATGTGCAGCACCTTGGTTCCTCCTTTCTTGTTCTCTTGCTCTTCTAGAAGTAGTTCTTCCATCACTATCTTCTCCATCTTCACCATGGTTGCTTGCACTATCATGAGGTTGCCGACGTCCTCTGATTTCATCCATAAAGGCTTGAAGATCTTGTGTCAACCTATCTTGCTTATCTTCCATGCTTTGCTTTAGTTCATTGAATTGTGCCATAGTAACACAATCTTATATCTCAACTCCACCCATCTTCCTATAAGGTTAGCTAAATATGAACGATAGGTATTTGTGGAATATAAAAATTTGGTGGCTCTCACAACTCACCCCTCTTACCAACCGAAGCTTTTATGAATTCCCTGCTGCGGATTACAGAGAAACAAATGTGTGGTGGTAATAAGAAAGTGATGGCGAGGCGAATACAAGACTAGAGTACCGATTACGATGGCTTGTATGTGGAGCTTGGTGGGGAGTGATACACAAGGAATACAATCTGAATTCTAGTTGTTGTAAAGTAAAATAACAATCCAAACTAGAAGATCCCTACCTAGTGCTGACCACAAGATATGAAAGATATAAATGGATCACACACACATGCAAAGAAATTTCAGAGTTGATGCAAACAAGGAGTATGATTAGGATGCAAGTGTTGCGATCAGACCCAACCAAAAATTTGCACCAAAAACAAATAACAAATTGATTGCACAACTTGATGTGAAAACTTTCAGCACTTGTGCACATAAACCAACCAATCTTTCAACTTTTCTTTCCCAACTTTTCTCAACTCTTTTTTTTCACTTTTCTTTCTTTTTTTTTTGACACACTTTTTTTAGATAGAACCAAACACAGGGACAGATATAACACGTGCACACTTTATGACAAAATAAAAACACAACCAGTAGCTATAACTTGATAGGATCAAAGTTAACGTGAAGGATGATATAGGCTATAATTTTTTTGTGGGGATTTTCAGATATATAAAAGAGGCTCAAAGGACACGCAAAGGATAATGATCAGCAACTAAAACAAAGACTCTAATGGACTGAAACTTAACAAAACTCAATAAAATAACAGATTGAAATAAAGGGCTAATGCAATTTTTTAGGCTTTTTCGTGGATAGGATGAAACAAAAATATATGTAGCTAAGGGAAAAGAATCCTACCGTGGTAACGAAAGCTTTGATACCAGATGATACGTCATGGGGTCCCGATCTTCACGACGTAGGATGAACACCGGATAACTAGCTTCAAAGAAGCCAAGATAACTTACTACAAGCAACGATAACTAGTGCAACCTGATAAATAAAACTCAAAGCCAACCACCATCTTTAACCGACAACCTGAATCAAGGATTCGTCCAACCACACTCTCAAGGAACCGACCAACACAGCCTACAATCAATCGGGAAACCTCAAAGAGAGTAGGAGCACCAATTGGGAGCGGATGAAGTCGCCGCTTCTGTAATCCCGCGAAGGAAATCACAAGAGCAAAGGGGTAGAGATCCCTCTCTCAATATTTGTTAGCACACAGCTGAACAAAGGGGTTCTGTATTTCAATTATCAAAAGTCTGAGAATGCTATGGAGCAATAGGGTATTTATATTAGGAACAACCCTCCTAGATAGGTGAAAACACAAAATGAAAAAGATAAGATAGACTATGTGAAAGGGGTTCCACGAAATGAATTTCTAGAGAGTTCCCGCGTGGCTGTTGGTCTTCTGCGCAGTCTTCAGTGTTTTGACAATAACTCCACCTTGAGACTTCCAAATGACGTGCCGTTGGATGCGTTGGAAAGTTAACTTGATAAGCTTTCACACCATGTGCAGAATACACCACGAAATAATATAGAATGGTACAATTTTGCATGGGAAGTTGAACATCATGCAAACTGTTGACCTGCTGACCAGTCTTCACTAATGCAGTCGTATCTCAACATTGGAAAGTCGAAATCAGTTGAGACCACTTGGACTTGAAACTAGACTTGACAAGCTTTTCAACAAGTCCTCATGGGCCTTCATAGCTTTTGAGAATAAAAAGTTATGACTGATTCTTCTATCATGCTGGGCTGGACCGAGCGTGGCTCTTCTATGTAATCCTCTCTTGGTGTGTCCTTGTCTTCCTCTTTGGTGAACTTGAGCAATAGCAACGTGCATGACTTAGACAATATATAATTCTCATTAATGTTAAAATGAATCTCACAAAGTAGCGCATTCACCTCTTGTTGTAGCTTCTTTGCTCGACTACGTGTAACTGGTCCATCAATGACCTAGATTGGTGTCGATGTAGGTGAGACTTGTGTTGGTGTAGCTTGAATTGGAGGTTGTAACATGTTGCTCGATGGTGTGGTCATATCATAAGTAACAATTAGGAAATTCCCAAAGCATTGCAGAACCAACTCGACAAAGCAAAAAAAATATTCTTGCTAAAACGGTAGAGAACACTGCACAACACTGTTCCATTACTGTTTGTCCATGCATGTTTTCTCTCTATTTTGTTTTTCGCTCTTGTTTATTACCTGATAAGTAACAAATCAGTTTTTTTTCACTCGGTACTTGGATTTATAAGGCAGTGTTTAATTGATTTTCCATGCCAAGAAATCCTACCTTTTGTACGGGGTTACTTACTAGTACTTTTGATAATTGCACAGTACAACGTAAACGTCCATAACACGCACGCACACTCAACTCACTCCTATGAATACTAGTACGTAAAACCATATCCCTATAAACACCTCCAAAGGACTGAGCCGTCAAATCTCGAGATTCACGAAGTTACCACAAGCGCCTCGTTGTCACCTACCACTTGAAGCATAGCGCCGTTAAAGCCTAAGATAAACCTAGAAAAATACGAATACTCGTTCCAAGTCTAAAACTTAAATCCTGATGGACAAGTTCCACCGTAAACAACCCGCCAACATATATATATATATATATATATATGATCAGTTCGCTACTTGCTAGTACTTAATAATGCCGTAATATTGCATCCATGTCAAAAATCTTAAACAAATACCCATATAGACGTATATAGATAGATTGATATAGAGGCAAAACTACCTAACCTAGGGAATGCAAATATTAGGGATTGGTCCACAGCCCACCTAAAAGGCCTGCTGTATTTGACCGTCTTGTACTCTTGTGGCCCAAGGCGCAATACAATGGGCCAGAAACGAACCCGCATCACTGTAAACCTACCCAACCCTTTGCTCTTCTCCTACCCCCCCGGTCTCCTCCGTTGCTCTCCCTCCTCAGACATCACTCCAGCCATCACCTTATCCCCAAACCCTATCAGCCCAAAATCGAACCCACCTCTGCCCTTCCCATGGTGGCCACGCTCTTCTCCACCTCCCTCTCGCCTCAGTTCCTCTCCCTCTCCGCCAAGCCCACCCCCGCCGCCCCGTCCGGCGCAGCCTTCCCATCGGGGCTGCCGCAGCTACAGGCGCTCTCCGCCGCGGCGGCGGGCTTCAGGCCGCTCGAGCCCGTGCGCGCGGCCGCGACCGCGGCCGTGACGGAGCAGCTCGAAGCGGAGGGGCAGCCAGGCGGGGAGGAGGAGTTCTCGGAGGATCTCCGGGTCTTCGTCGGCAACCTTCCCTTCAGTGTCGACAGCGCCCAGCTCGCGGGACTTTTCGAGCAGGCCGGCTCCGTCGAGATGGTCGAGGTGTGTGTCTACATGCATTCGATAATCAGCAGGCCGTAGTGATCACATTTCGGGGTTTTTTCCTATTATACCTGACGTCGATGAAATTGGCAAATCCTAGTTTTCATAACTGATACTCCCTCAGCCCCCAAAAAAAACTTAGATGTTCTAGAGGTTTTTTTAGGACAGATTGGTGCTCAACAGAAATTAAAAGCGAACCATGCTAATTAAGGAATAAGCTCCTCATTAAATGGAAAAGCTGATAATATGGCTAAATCTATTGTTCAAGAGCTATAACATAAGTTTTTAGGACTTTTTTTATCATAGAACATCAATTTGTATGGGATGGAGGGAGTACTACCAAAGTTCTGAAAAAACAGAATATTACTACTGTTGCGATAGGCAATAAAAATACTACAGTGGAGAACACAATTGGCTGGGTCATAACTTCTTTCAATAGGCCACCCCCATGAACAAGATATATTACAGTTTTTTGCCAACTGATAGCGTTGCAATTTGTTGCAGGTCATCTATGACAAATTGACGGGAAGAAGCCGTGGATTTGGGTTTGTGACCATGTCTTCGGTCGAAGAAGTTAAGGCGGCTGTTGAGCAATTCAATGGCTATGTGAGTTCACTTTGGTTCTTCCAGAGCATTGCATATTCTTTGTTAACATATTTTGCTGTCATGGACCATTCTCCTAATGTATGACATAGCTTATTTTACCAGGAAATGTGACCTTTGCAATATACTATAGGAATTTCGTGATGTTCATGGTTTCCTACCAGATCCTGCATTGCATAAATCAATTTCTACATTAATAATTACTCTTAAGGCTTTAGATAGAGCATATATATTCTGTTTCGTTGATTGAGTATATTCTGTTACAGAATGTTTAAATGTTGTTCAGTTCATTATTTCATTATCTATCTGACTTGATGTCTCAATATATAGGTACTTGATGGAAGGAGTTTGAGGGTGAATTCTGGGCCACCGCCACCCAGGGATCCATCCTCACAAAGAGGACCCAGGGGTGATGCCAACAGGGTCTACGTGGGTAACCTTTCCTGGGGTGTTGACAATCCAGCTCTCGCAAACCTGTTCAGTGGACAAGGTGAGGTCCTGGAAGCGAGGATTGTATATGACAGGGAGAGTGGAAGGTCAAGGGGTTTTGGTTTCGTCACGTATGGTTCCGCTGAAGAGGTTGAGAATGCGATATCGAACCTTGATGGCACTGTGAGTTCTCAATCCCATTTTCTTTCCCAGTTTCTCGTGTTGTAGCCTTTGAAGTTTGAAGTCTCTAGTCTTCTTTCAGGATGTACTAATTACATTGCCCTGCAGGACGTGGATGGCAGACAGATCCGTGTCACGGTAGCAGAGTCGAAGCCACCTAGGCGGCAATACTGAAATTCCACTTTCAGATGTTAGGCGTAACGGTAGCCCCAGCTCTGGACTATAGTACCGCCGTTGCTGGATTTCTACCTGTAGCCTGTAGAATCTCCACCACATGGTTGGAAAGATTGGCATGGCGATGAGATATGCATGCTTTGATCTTGACATTCATCGAAATTATAAAGTCCTCATGTATGCCCTTTATTTAACTTGTAAAATATTGGATTTCCGTGCTCAGTAGCCCTTTACACTTGCTGCATTGTGTGGCACTCTTCACCAACTTGAACTCTGCTCAGTAGTCCTCGTGTACAGTATGGCATCATTCGCTTCGTCGAAAAAACAAGTCGAAATATTGTTCCAGCTGATTTGTTGTGAGAAAAAAATATTATTCCAGCTGAAAATGATGGATTATAAGAGAAGGCCGCGGGGCCACAACAACACAAGTCTTGGTTTCAGCTTGCAGTTGCAGTCATAGGCATTTCAACCCTGTTGCTACACGACATGCATATGGTGACCGACACCGGAACGCTCGCATTGCTGCAGGTAAAAAGCGGCTCGCTGAAAATACTGTTGAGCGAACAGGGCAGCGTCGTGACTCGTGAGCCTATGGCCGCGACGTTTTTCTAGTATTTTTTTCCTGACGATTAACAGGCTGTTCGGTTGGCTGGCTCGTATTGTTGTTGATTCATTAATATAAGAGAGAAGTAATGTTGCCTGGTTCAAGTGAATAGTGTACATGTGAGTGTGAGGGGCTGACCAGCCCAGCCAGCCAGCCCTCCGATCACGCTGTAGGAGAGAACATCAAATTCAGATTTGACAGCTTGAGCTGATAAATCGCGTCTAGTAGTAGTACTTAGTGTGAAGCAGTACATGTACAGTACGTATTATTTTCAGATCCCAGGTGAGAATCTTCTCTTTTGACAGCAAAATATGTTAACAAAGAATATGCAATCAAGAATCCGTGACACAATCTCTCTTCATCTCCCTCGATCTTTATATGTTTTCAGATGGAGAGTAAAGCGGTGGAGGAGACGTTGAAGATGAAGGCAATTGTCACTATCACCAATGAGAAGCGGCTTGATGAGGTCATCGTAGTCGGCCTAGGCCCTCGTTGGTGGCGCTGCCATCTCCGATACCTAGGGAAGGCTCCTTCCCTTAGAAGGGCTAGCGTATGTTCAACAGACGCGGCTAAAAAAATCCCATCGGCAGCGTGGCAGGTTGAGTGTCACCGCGGATCCGCCAAGTGGAACACTACGAGTTGGATCGGAGGGGCGCCTCATTGGTCGACGCCGCCGTCAGCAAGGCGGGCGCGTTCACCAAAAAGCTGTGTATGAGATTGGATGTGTCAGGGGAGGAGAAAAGTAGAGAAGGAAGATGGTGGGGACAGATGCAAGTTATCCACCATCCACTATTGTTCATTTCTCTTCTTTTATGCCAATCCAACTTATTAGCACCTATTTTTAACCTTAATTCTTTTGACAATGTATTTTCTTTCCTAATTTCAGCAACATCTTTTCGCTAACAATATCGATACTTCTTTCCATTCAGGATTCCACAAAAATTCTCATATTGTGCTCTTCATTTCTTCGTCGATTCTCCCAATGATTTTTGACATTTATATATATGTACATGAATTTAATCATGAGGCTCAGGGATTATACAAGACCAAAAGTTTGTCTTATTCTCTCAACTAAGGTATCAGTACGAAAACATCAACAAACAATTGCCAATTGACCATCATGTTCTCACTGTTTAAAGAAGGCTATTTTCAGTGAAGACGGAACCATGGCAAAAGAAACAAAAAATCAGTAACTTATTTACTACCACTCTAACGCTTAATTAGATAAACTATTCAACAGTATTCCGTCCGTCCTAAAATAGTTGACCTTGTAGCATTCAAATTTTGTCCCAGAGTAGTTGGTATTCTCACTTCCCAACGCACCATTCTTTCTCTCATTACATCTTTTTCTTTCCCAATACATCTCTCTCTCTCTACTTTTTAGGGGTATTTTAGTCTCTTTGTCTTCTGCATTGATCTCTGTGAGATAGTCTAAAACTCCAAGTATTATGGGACGGAGGTAGTATTTATTTACATCTCTTAGAAAAAGTCACCGTAGCAACTGCATGGAGAATCATCTATAGTTGCTTCAACACCAATGAGCATCACCTGATGGGTTTAGGATTCTTGTGGTTCAAATAATGCCTCTTGGCTACTACAGCTGCGAAAAGCACTATATTTGCTGGTCTAGTTGTAGAGCCATGGCCAGCGTACTTATTGAGTTATTGTAAGGGACTAGACTAAGACATCAATCTAAATGGTTTTGTACTAAAGTTAGAGGCACTGCTAATAATCCAAAATCTAAATTTGGTTGTATATCTAGTAGTCTTAAAACAGTGCACCTTAGAACCCATGCTAAATTTGGTTTGCACCAAATTTTGACATACACTCAATTATAATTTTTTCACACTTCCTATTGAATTTGACAAACTTCTCAATTGACATCAATCACAAATAAATTAGGGGTGATAGGTTTTTGGGACATTGGATTTTAGATTGTAAAGCTTTGGCACGAGGGACACTGGACCAATAGACGATGTGAGATCAAGTGCCCATGGAATGTAGGGGATAGAGATTATCTTTTACTTACAATACAATGAGATATTCACGAACTGTTTGGGCAATGGTAATGATTCACACGCTAGTGCCAGTGGTAACAAATTTGAATAGGCCGGTATCAGTTCTTAGTGTGATATCTGGTTAATGCTAGACTTAGATATACAACTAACAATTAGCTCACCTATTAGCTAGGTCCATACAACTATTAATTAGGTGGATCCAAACTGAGTCATAGCCTATACAACTAAAGGCATCTTCAAGAGTTCCCTAAACCTCCTCCTAATTATAAGTTTTTAGAAAGATCCACAAAAATCCATCTCCAACAACTCCTAATACAATCTCCTAATATTTTAGGAGTTGGAAAAATCCCCTCATAGCATTCGTAACTTCTGCCTATAGTTGTTATTCTCGACACGTATCCTTCGCTCGCGTTCGGGGCGAGTTCGTCTCAAAGGTGCTAGCTTACTAGATCGAGGGCAAGGTTGTCGTCTCTTGCTTCTAACGTGTCCGCATGAAATACCGTCGACATCGTTACCTGTATTAAAAAGGAGAGAATACGGAGGGAGAGAGAGACCACGGACGGAGAGCACGGAGCTTTTGTCGTCACTGCTTTCGTCGCCATGGATGTACCTGGCAGAGCTCGGGAGAGCTTCGGCATAGGCAAGGAGGAGACAAGGCACCTTTGCTTGGGAAGGTGGAGGAGAGTGCAGGGAGGCACACCGTCAAGGAATCGGGAGGAGATGGCGGGCGTCGAGATCGACGAGGCTACTGTCTCTATGCAAGAACAGAGAGGGGGAGAGATGAGTAGCGAGGGCTCTGGATAGCGGTGAAGAAGAAGGTGGTTAGGATGACGAGCTCGGTGGAGTGGAGAGGAGGCGAGCATCGCGTCCCTTGTATATTGACCGGTGGAGGTGGAGCTTATTGACCCAAGACGCCAAGATTACCTCGGCATGGTTTTTTGGCGGCCTCTTAGATTGTGGCAACGACGTGCGGGAGCAACTTCCCATAGCGATGGGATGGGATGATGGGCGGTGGCAGCTTGGTATGGCGTGGTTGCGTGAGCGTGATGGAAAAGAAAAAAGGCGCAACATAATTCATGTGGCCCTAAATTTGATTTTTTAGGTGTTATTTATTAGAAACTCTCGGAGATAATCTTTTTTTTTTCTCTCCAAATGTTTTAGGAGTTGTTAAACTACATGTTTTTAGAAGAAAAAAGTAGGGGGCTTCTGGAGGTGCTCTGACCACCAACCCCTTACACAGTAATTAACCAGCTAGGAGTTGGTGCCCGTAGCGATCAACGCGCTCTGACGGTCTTGCCACTACAAATAAACCGCACCGCATTTCGAAAGGCCACGCGACCGCCACCTCCCCGAAGCCGCCGCGACCAATCGAGCCAAGCGTCCCTCCCCGCGCCGCCGCCGAAACCCTAGCTCCTTCCTCCTACGCCATGGCCACCGTCTCGCTCACCCCGCAGGCGGCCTTCTCCACCGAGTCCGGCGGCGCCCTGGCCTCTGCCACCATCCTCCGCTTCCCGCCAAACTTCGTCCGCCAGCTCAGCACCAAGGCACGCCGCAACTGCAGCAACATCGGCGTCGCGCAGATCGTCGCCGCCGCGTGGTCAGACTGCCCCGCCGCTCGCCCGCACTCAGGCGGCGGCGGCGGCCGCGCCCGCGGCGTGGCCTCCTCCCACGCCGCGGCCGCATCGGCCGCCGCCGCCGCCGCCTCCGCGGCGGCGGAGGTCAGCGCAGTCCCCAACGCTAAGGTTGCGCAGCCGTCCGCCGTCGTATTGGCCGAGCGTAACCTGCTCGGCTCCGACGCCAGCCTCTCCGTCCACGCGGGTACCGTACCCTGCTAGCTCGCCTCTTTGCTTTAAGATCTAGGATCTATGCCTTTTCCTTTTGATGATTCCTTTGTGGCTTTGCTGCCTTTTTATCTGAAACAGGGGAGAGGCTGGGAAGAAGGATCGCCACGGATGCGATCACCACGCCAGTAGTGAACACGTCGGCCTACTGGTTCAACAACTCGCAAGAGCTAATCGACTTTAAGGTTCGACAGATTCCCTTCCTCAAATGAATATTCGTGCTTGCTCTTGTCGAATTTGACAGATCTGACGAATTTTAAATTTTATCTGTTCTTTAGGAGGGGAGGCATGCTAGTTTCGAGTACGGGAGGTATGGGAACCCGACCACGGAGGCATTAGAGAAGAAGATGAGGTGATGTTCGGTAGTGGAAATGTCGACACCTTGTTGGTTGCATTTGGTTGGAGCCTAAACAGTTGCGTGTTCTGATGGTGCAGCGCCCTGGAGAGAGCAGAGTCCACGGTGTTTGTGGCGTCGGGGATGTATGCAGCTGTGGCTATGCTTAGTGCACTCGTCCCAGCTGGTGGGCACATTGTCACCACCACGGATTGCTATCGTAAGACAAGGATTTACATGGAAACTGAGCTCCCTAAGAGGGGAATTTCGGTAATACCATGCTATCCTTTAAGCTCTACTTGTTTTTAGGATGGGGCATCAACTATAACAATTAATTGTCTTACTGCCGCTGCGCTACAGTAGTGCGTTTTCAATGAACTTGTTCTTATCCAGTTAAAATTACTCAGTTGTGTTGTACTTATCGAGTTAATAATCTCTACAAAGTCCAGTTACTTCAGCATGAGCCAATAGGAGTAGCATAACTACTGGCTATTGGGAGTACAGTATGGCTTCAAACTTTAATTCTTTGTACTGCAATGTCAATTGTATTGGCTATCTGCAAAAGGATTTAACTCAAGTAAAAAATTCTTATGGTAATAGATTTTAAGATCCCTCGCAATAAGATTTATTATATAATCACAATATCTACCAGTTGAAATGCAGCGAGAACACTTTGTGAGTTTGTATACCAATGTTTATCATGCTTCACTTATTATGTGATACTGTTTATGCCCAGATGACTGTCATTAGGCCTGCTGACATGGATGCTCTACAAAATGCGTTGGATAACAATAATGTGAGTGTGATATCATTTCCATTGCCCCTGATTGTGGCAACAAAAAACATACATTATCAAATGTAGCCTAATCTTATGGTCATGTCAGGTATCTCTTTTTTTCACGGAGACTCCTACAAATCCATTTCTCAGATGCATTGATGTTGAGCATGTATCAAATATGTGCCATAGCAAGGGAGCGTTGCTTTGTATCGACAGTACTTTTGCCTCCCCTATCAATCAGAAGGCACTTACTTTAGGTGCTGACCTAGTTATTCATTCTGCAACGAAGTACATTGCTGGACACAATGATGTGAGTTGATATACTGAAACCCATCTCCTCTCAATAAAGGTATGTGTGTGCACTGACTAGAGTATTCAATACTTCAATTTCCCAGGTTATTGGAGGATGTGTCAGTGGCAGAGATGAGTTAGTTTCCAAAGTTCGTACTTATCACCATGTAGTTGGTGGTGTTCTAAACCCGGTAAGTTTAGATTGTTAAAATTTTGTTTCCATTCATTTCATCTTCCTTGCACAGGTTGTATGTATTTATAGATTCCCATAGTTACAGGCTTCTATTTTTTGATAGGTAGAAAATCATGTAATTTTCTTTAGTTGCATATATTTAGGTTAGAAAAATAATTTGCCCTTTCTGAGTATCACAAGCTGCATTCAGTTCTCTGTTAACTTCCATAAAGTGAGTTGAACTAGAATTCTGGAAAGGAAGAAATAGAATATGTTCTGTGCACTGCAATGTATATCCAATAATTAATTCGGAGGTTTATGTCACAGACTGTGCTACCACTTTATGAAATATTATTTCCAAGTTATGCTTGTCTCTGAAAGTGAAATGGCTCATGTTGTACTCTGTTTCACAAGTTGAATAGTAGGACACCCCCATATCTGTAGTTTTGTGAGCTTTGTTACCCTTGTTTCAAATCCACTGTTCTCACACCTTCAATATCTATCTTATACTCTTACTATATGGTGCAATGAATAATCGGTTCTCTGGCTCATAACTGTTTTGTGCTGTGATATTAGAATGCTGCGTACCTTATCCTTCGAGGCATGAAGACACTGCATCTCCGTGTGCAATGTCAGAATAATACTGCTCTTCGGATGGCCCAGTTTTTAGAGGAACATCCAAAGGTGTGAACTGTGTTTTCTTTTATTGATGTATGTATACAAACTAGTGGTATTCCATGTTTCCATTGTTTTAACTAATGATATTATCTCTTGTTCCCAGATTGCTCATGTCTACTATCCTGGCTTGCCTAGTCACCCTGAACATCACATTGCCAAGAGTCAAATGACTGGCTTTGGTGGTGTTGTTAGTTTTGAGGTAAATTTAATTCTTGACTCCATTATACCGTGTATTAAATTGTTGTGAACATGACATAGTTCACTTATATTCATTTTTTTTTCTTGTGTAGGTTGCTGGAGACTTTGATGGTACAAGGAGATTCATTGATTCTGTTAAGATACCTTATCATGCCCCTTCTTTCGGAGGCTGTGAAAGCATAATTGATCAGCCTGCCATCATGTCCTACTGGTAAGAACTTAATAATGTTTGTGGTATTGAGACATTCAAAACAAAATGACGTACTTGTGCTAAATTTTGAGCTTTGCGGCTTGTGAACAGGGATTCAAAGGAGCAGAGGGACATCTATGGGATCAAGGACAACCTGATCAGGTTCAGCATTGGAGTGGAGGATTTCGAGGATCTTAAGAATGATCTTGTTCAGGCCCTCGAGAAGATCTAAGCACTGCAATCCGTTTGCATTAATGAAGTTATGAGGTGATGGTTGTCTTGGATCCTGTAGAGATCCGTGGTGATATATGAGCTGATGACTGCGAATGAGTTGTCCTTTTGCTTATTTTATTCTTCAAAATCAATAAGTTGTGTGGTTGCTGCATCCAGCGTGATCTAGCGTTGCACTTAATTGTACTTGCCAAATACATTGGTCTTGTCCGATGTACTTGTTGTTTTGCTTTAGAATTGTGCCCGGTTGTGGGATGAACTCACGCCCCTAGTGTTTTCTTTGGCATTTGCCGTTTAGTGTGAGAGCACGAAGTCCTTAATCACAATAATAAAAGAGGGAAAATTGTCACGAGGAATCTATCTATCTATAAAGATATCTAATCCCGGTGAATTAGCTACAGTACTACCGGTTTTCCTCATCCAGATCACTATTCATCCATAGTTCTTTGCTCCTGGCTGTTCGATCTAGTCTGCACAGCCCGGATGGCCGCCACGCCCGCTTCCAGAAACCACCATGCCAAGCAACGCCAGCCTTATCCTCTCCCCCAGGACCCGTCAAAGCACGTCCGTTGGCGTCTCACCGCATCCATCCGCCTCGCAGCCTCCGCCTGCTCTTCCTCTCCCCCGTCTACGAGCTCCACCGCCGGCGCCCTCCGGCGGTCTCACCGCATCCGTGCGCACCGTCGCGGCACTCCGCCCCGCCTTCGGCCAGCTGCGACGACACCCTGGTGGAGCGCCCCCCCACCTGCACCCTCCCCAGGACGCGCGGCGCGGACCGCAGGGCGCCGCTGCGCCACGCCGCACCAACGCCGCTGTGGCGCGCCATGGCCCCGCAACAGCGCCCGTCCGCCTCCGTCCACCTCCCTCATGGCGCTTCATCCTCGCGCACTCCCGCAGCAGCGACGGCAGCGCGTACGGCCGCGTCCGCAGCCCGCTGGCGCAGGGAGGCACCAAGCGCCCTCCGCGGTCGCCCAGTGAGATGGGGGCAGCAGGTATGCTCTCCTTTTTTTTTCTCTTTTTATTGTCTCAATTTTTCCATATGATGTATTGATATGCACATGAAAATTCATTTGCAGGGCCCCTCCCTCTCGCTAATAGTACCCACCTCCTCCTGCATCATGTGACAGGCACGCCATGTGAGCCAAACTTCTTCCTTGCTAAGCGCTCATGATAAATACTGATAGATGATTCAAGGTATTTGGCAATTTCCTCAACAGTGTGGTAGTGCTGAATTCTGTAGTTCTCTCAATGTTCAGGTCCTCATCGTGTAGTTCAGTTTTGGATTTTCTATTAGAGACCAGTAAATATTTGTCGTCAAACACATGCTCAGTATGTTACTGAATGATTGCCTATTGTTTGTCAAATTTGCAGAATATTTAGGAGGTGTACAAGCTTAACATAATGATGCCATGTGCTAATTTCATGTCATGTTGTGCAGACCTAAATTTAGGTTTTCCTGATGATAGCATCAATTGCATCGGTAATGTTTCATTCCATTTCACCCTTCAACTTCTCCAACATGCAGTTTATGTTTCCCTGTTTAAAAGACTAATGTGCTCTTTTTTATCCATGCTGGCATGGTTATGCCAGCCTTCAGCTTGCCAATGTCCAGCAGCTCGATCGGCCATTTCTGTGCTTCTTCTGTTTCAGGCCAGCGTGCTGTCTACTGTGCTATGGCACATGACATCGGTCTATGCATGGATGCTGTAGAATATTTTTAGATCAATGTGTAATGTCATGACTAACTTTGCATAGTGATTACATCTCTCCTGAAGAAGTGACTCAGAAATAGGTTACAATCCATTCTGCTGGGCTACGTGTTTACATTTCATATAAAAGCTTTTGCTTAGGTTTAATTCAGATTTCGATAGGCTGGGCAGTACATACTCAGAGCTTGGCTTACCATTTGGTATATTTTGTAAAGTATGTAGTGACCTGAAATGCATTAAAAAATTAGGTGCCTGTTGGGGAAGCTGCATAAAAGATTGGGTCAGGGTCAATTTCATCGAGCTAAGTGTTTGTGTTTGCAAGTGAGGCTTTTTCTTATGTTCCTTTCAGGTTCTTGCAGGCTGTGTATCATGGACAATAGGGTCCATTGCCCTTTTAGTAGGTTCCTGAGAGGTACAGACGGTGCTCTTCATGTGGACCTTCTGCAACTACTTTGTATCTTTGTTCTGTGCATATTCTGATTGGTTTTGGCATTCATTATTTTTTTCGCAGTCTAAATCCATTCCTATATATTAACGCTATAGCTCTTGGTGATACGTAACCATGGTAGTATATGCCTTTACAACATTGTCTACAATTGGTTATCTGATCTTAATAATTGCTTTGTTGTTTTGTTTCTTCCATGGATTGTGGGCACTGATCCATGAATTTCAGCTGATATGCAATTTATGTACTCAGGTTGGTCAGCTCTTCTCGCTACCCTCAGCTTTCTTTACCATCAATCACCTCTAATTTGTTATTCTCTAATTCAGGTTTTACTGTTTCATGTTTAGTCCATAGTGCGTACTATCCTCATGTAACAATTACACGGGCTCTCTGCTATGTTGACATTACCCTTTCTGCCATAACACAGGCTACTAAGGGTCCGTTTGTTTGGGCTTTTGGCTCCAAAAGCCAAAAGCCCAACCAAAGGGGCTGCTTTTGGAGGTGGCTTTTCCAGAAGCAGTTGTTTTTCCGTAGTACATTTTTGAAAGCTGGTTTGACGCTGCTTTTGGCTTTTGCCTTTCTGTTTTTCGAAATTGGCGGAATAAAAAGCTCTTCCATAGTTGTTTCAAGAGATATAAAGATAGAAGGTATATTTTATACTTGTTTAACCAAACAGCTTTCAACTTTTCTACAGTTCACAGTCCACAGCACCTTTTCCACAGCTCACAGCTTTTCCCATAGCCACAGCTCAACCAAACACACCCTAAACGTCTCCCTGCTCATTATAAGGTAAAAATCTACTACGAGTACAGTAGTAACCCTATATGTGAAAACTGAAGCAGCCTGTTCGTTTCGGTTTAAACGATCGTGGATTATTACTGCTGGCTGGTTTGGTGTGAGAGAAAAATACTGTTCTGGCTTATAATCCACGATCGTTTACGACCAAGTGAATAGGCTACTTACTTTTGCTGCAATATGTACACCCAAATACCATACTTTTCAGTCTGCCTACACAGCTATTTTTTTTAACTAAACTACATACTTTTCAGTCTGCCTGCACAGTTCCAGGTCCTCAGAGTTGTCTTCTTCTTTGACCTACACATCTTTTACTATCGTAATCAGTCTGATGGAACACATTCCCATAACAAGCCTCGCTCGCCAGGTGCATGGCTTTGCCAAACAATGAAAGTTCTTTCGCCCATGGCAAAATGAGTATCTATGTCCAACTGAAACAGCCCTGTACTATGCTAACATTATTCTATGAAGGGCTCAAATGACAACCCATATGTAACTAATGTTACTCATCTTTTTGTTCCATGTGTAATAATGTGATGTGCTATAATTCCTCCTCGGGGTACCTCCTAGTCATCATAATATATGTCGGAAGTGAATATTTTTCTTGAACTCACGCAGTCCGGCTAAACTGCTAGTAATTGTTAACTACTATAGTGATCACTAGGCCCGCAAGTGGTCCGAAGCTCTGCGCCCTGTTCGTTTGGGCTGGTTTGGCTTAAAAGACATGGCTGAAAGTATTGGCTGGTTTGATGTAAGAGAAATATTGTTCGTTGGCTGATAAGCTATGGCTTATAAGCCAAATACGACTCAACGAACAGGCTGTTCTCGTTGAACCAGTGGCAACGATAAACATGGCCTAAGTATATGGGAAACAAAGAGAGCACGAGTTGAGGTAATCTGACCAACAATTTGTGACAGTGTCTGTTACAGTACTGTATTTGACAGCATACTACGCATCGATGGAAGGACACCGTCAACACGTTACACGTCCACAGGTTGCGTCATGCGTACGTGCTCTCAGAAGAGATTGGCTTAACCCATATGCTACATATTGTCGTCGCAAAAGAAGATCAAATACGTATTCGGTACGAGTACCGTACGTATTACAGTAGGAAGAGCAAAAGGGCCCAGACTGTTCGTGCGAGGCCTCATTTTGCCGTTCCCATCCTCGATCGAAAACCGCGGCGCTCCGCCCTCGATCTACCCGCCATGGCCGCGCGCATCCGCGGGTGCCTCCTGCCGCCTCTCCTCCTGCTCGTCCTCGCGACCGCGGCCAACCCCGCCGGCGCGCTCCGCTTCGACCTGCTCTCGGGCCACACCAAGTGCATCTCCGACGACATCAAGGTCGGCGCCATGGCCGTCAGCAAGTACCACGTCATGGCCCCCGACGACGGCGCCTCCTCCTGGTCGTCGTCGTCACCGTCCCAGCAGCAGCAGCTCCCGGACTCCCACCGCATCTCGCTGCGGGTCACCTCGCCCTACGGCAACAGCCTGCACTACGCGGAGAACGTGCACTCGGGCAACTTCGCCTTCACGGCCTCCGAGGCCGGCGACTACCTCGCCTGCTTCTGGGCGCCCGATCACCGCCCGCCCGCCACCGTCGCGTTCGAGTTCGACTGGCGCAGCGGCGTCTCCGCCAGGGACTGGAGCGCCGTCGCCAAGAAGGGTCAGGTCGAAGTGAGTGCTCCTCCTCCACTCCACCTCGTCCTCCTCCTTTCATCTAATTCTAATCTGTTCTTTCTTCGCTTCACTGACCAACACATTGACACTTGACACGTAGGCTGTATGTTAGAATTGCTGGCTACGATTCAGATCTCAGATAGGTCCAAGAAAATCCACAGCACTTCACTTAGTTTATTAGAGATCGCATGTGAAGTTAAGATGCATGGCCAGTGCATGTTTGATTGCTGTATAACATATGTACTACCTTGCTTTTTAAACTACATACAGATACTACATTTGTTTGAGGTACAGCATCTAATAAGCTATCTCTTCTAGGTTCTGGCTCTTTTTTTTTTTCTTTTCTCAAACACGCAGGAGACCATCTCCTCTGGCTCTGGCTATGGGCTGATTTTTTTTCTTTGAAATGTGCCTGGGCAAATATTAACAAAAGGTAATTTACAACCAATTACAAACACTGAGAAACAGAGAAAACAACAACGAACAGCTACCTGCACAGGCCAACACAACTACCTGATGAACAGAGAAGAAATGAAAGACTTAAAACTGAAAAGGCCGAAAGCCTAAACACACAAACTATGCCAACAGGAAACACTAGCGCCTACTAGTGGATCAGCAACAGGAGCCAGGAGGAATCACAGCACCCTGTTTACTGCTCTTGCCCAAAGGTTCGGCTCCTCCTTGATGTGATCGCAAAGATTGACCATACTGAACACGCCCTGCCTGAATACTCTTGAGTACTCCGTATTCCATAGTGACCAAGCCATCAGAATGACTGCCAAAACCAAGACCTTTCCTATTATCTTTCGGCACCTGCTGCTTACAGCTTTTCAGCCGCCGCACCGGGAGCTCCTGATCACTGATCACCAGATGTCAGGATGTCAGGTCAGATGCTCCTGATCACTGATCACCAGATGACGGAAGAATTAGATTATTTGTTTATGCTTTTTGTAAATAATTTGTGCAAAGGGGAGAGATGCATACCTTTTTCATTAAGGAGGAGAATATGAAAGAGTCTCATACAACACGAGCAGTCTATAGACGCTACAGCCAAGATACACCATAAAACTCGATTAAACTAAAAAAACAAGCACAAGGAGGAGCAAGCTATTGATATCAATGGATTATGATACATTAAAAGATAAATGGACTAGAAAAAAGTTTGTAACGAACAGCAGTATGTGCAATTGGCAAATCCTGGATATCTGTTATTGTAATGGATTTGTATTGTCCTTTGAGGAATAAAGAAAGGAGTTCTGTTAATATATGGCCCTGGTTGTGTAGATGATGGAATTGGAGCTCAGGAAGCTGGAGGATAACATCAGATCTATCCATGAAGAAATGTTTTACCTTCGTGAAAGGCATGTACTCAACCTCAAAAAGACCCAGAATACAGTTTTATGTTTTGCAACATTTATCACATCTCATTAATCATACACTGCCTACTATTCTTTCAGGGAAGTAGAAATGCAGGAACTGAACAGGAGAACAAACTCAAGGATGGCTTGGCTTGGTTTCCTCTCGCTCGCCATCTGCCTATCAGTGGCGGGCTTGCAGTTATGGCACCTGAAAAACTTCTTTGAAAGAAAGAAGCTACTATAATTCTTTTCATTACTACAGAACATTTTTAGGCACAATTTTTTGGTTACCTTTTCTTCTTTGTTGTTTAGTGGATGTAGATTTTCTTCTGGGGAACAAAGATATAGCAGATCGAGTTGATAAATACTGATTTTTAGTTTCCTAGGACAAAATTAAATATATGCAAAGTGCAAAGGCGGCATCAAATTCTAGTTCTTTGGTCTTGAAGTGTGCTGTTCAAATTCTTTCGCCAAATAATTATGCTCTCTTGGAATTTTTGTGTGACGTTCTGGCCCACAGGAGTATTTTGCATCTATCCGGTTGCCGCATCAAAACCCAGGCCCTAAAATCCTGATGAAATCTATGAATTTTCGGATGCTAACGTCCGCACTTAGTTACTCCCTCCGTCCAGAAAAGAATGCAATTATGGGATCCGTGCTGATCAAAGTAACTCAAGTTTGACTAAGTTTATAACAAATAATATTAATATTTATGTCTCTAAATAAATTTATTATGAAAATATATTCTATTTTGGTCAAAGTTTAAACTGATTGATTTCTCGAGAAACGAGAATTGTATTCTTTTGTAGATGGAGGGAGTATTTATGCTCAGACTTTCTACATGAGTTAATCGTGTGATGTAGACGCGCTCAAGACCAGATCTGTTATTATATATCTTAAAAGTGAAGGTGAGGTACTGAACTTTTTGTTTGGACCTCCTTTACATGCAAACTCTCCCTTCACACTCACTTTCCACCAAAACTTGCTTGTGGGGTACCGTGCGGTGTTTTGGATGTTATAATTTGATTATTATAAAGGAAATACAGACACATGAATAAACAGTGCTTGTTTGTGTTTTTTCCCTTTTTTGCACTGTAGAGTTCTTGTTTGTGTTTTGGTGTGGTTGTACGGTGTCCCTTGGCTACTTTTCTTTTCTTTTTTAACGTAGCGGGCAGCTTTTTTACCGGTTCATTAAAAAATAAAGAGTAGTCGTAGTAGTAATATAAGCACCCCATTGATGGAAACAAAATCCGTGTCTTGCGCATGTATTTATCTCAATCCACATGTGTTGAAGTAGATTGGAGTGGAATTAAACTAAATTCCATTTTATTCCACTCCAACACATACGGATTGAGGTAGATACACATGCATCCAAACAAGACCTAAATTGTATAATAAATCCAATGATCCTCCCGACGTGGTTATTACCCCTTTTGACAGGAGCTCTATATGAAATAATTCAGGAAAGTGCATCCCATATCTTTGAATTTGACCAAATCGGTTGGTTTTGGTATATGTCACTACACATTACGTCATATTCTTCAGCACTACTTCAACAGTACCTTTCAGTGAAGGAATAGTGTTTTCTCACAAGAAATTAGCATCAGCCAAATTTCAGCGAAACGAACATGGCCTTACACCCCAAATTCCTTCTAGTTGTGTTATATGCATAGGCTAGCTGGGAGCTCATGAGAAGATTCTTGCGGTTACATCACCATGATTGAAGATGTTATTCCATGTTTGAAGGCCACTTGACAATAATGGCTTATCGCTAATTCGGAGCTAATGTCAAAGGATGCCTGACGTTGAAAGGTTGCATTGTTGCTTATTTCTCATCTTATGACAGCAACGGGATGTACCCAATCCATCCGAGGGTTTGTTTGGATGCAGGATGCCCATGACCTTAATCCACTTTAACACATGTTTATTGAGGTAAATACACGTGCATCTAAGCAACCGGTGCTGACAAATTTAATTTAATTTTTTTATTATGTCTTGTAGTGTCAAATGAAACTATTGGCGTTTTTTTTTTTGCTTCAAACACGCATAAAAAACTGTTCACGTCTCAAGCTTGCAATTCTGCAGAACCATTTGACCGCAAATTTGTTCTCCATATATATGCAATTACTACAGTGTTCTATATGGGCAAAACAAAAACCGTTGTGAAGAAAATATATATGTATCGGAGTTCGGAAACCACTATCATGAACTCTTTCAGTTTTTTTTATTTTTTGAACGCAATTTAATTTTTATTTTAAAAAATCACGTTACTATCTATCTAGTCTTTTTTTATTTTTTGCGAATTACTATCTATCTATCCAGTCAATACGACTACGATCCTGCAGATTGCACGCTACGCTGGAGAGTCAACAGCAGGCGATACGCATTGCCATTTTTTTATTCACGAACGAATAAAGCTCATCTGTCTCCACGTGCAGCGTGAAGTTGGTAAAAATGATATTGGCGCCGGTGCGGCAGAATCCCGAGGTGTGTGGGCAGGCCGCAGGCAACATTCGCGGGAATCCCATCTTCTCCGCTTGCAATTGCAACTGTAAAAGCGATTCCGGTGGCCACCTATGGTTAAGATTCACGTCAGTTGGAATCCAAACACAGTATTTATTTTGGTTTTAATAAATATATATAAAGTCATCTAGATTTATCCGACATGGCAGCAAACGGGATGAACGATGCATCACAATTTAGCTTCAACTTCCCAGCTGGTGGTTTAGACCATTTTCCCTTGCGTCTTGGCACCCCTGCAATCATCGTGGTCTGTTTGTTCAGAGATTCCGCAATGCCTGAGGCCATCCGGCGCCTCCCACCTTCCCTGATGTTGTTACGTTCTGACCACCAGGCCCATAAGATAAAGATCATTGTCACTCTTTTCTCTTCCTGTGTTTGAAAAATATATTCCATTACACTCCTCACTGAGTCCATCGTGTTAGATTGATCTCCCAGCCAATAAGCCCAACGGCCTATTGGGCCTTGGTCACGCGCTCTGATCGGGGGCGCCCAACCCTACATGGTTGGTGGGCCCCCGTCGCACTGCGCTATATAAAGTGGTGGGGGCCGGCGGCTCGAGGTACGAGGTTCACCGTGAGCCAATCCGGTAGCAGGTGCGCAGCCAGCGACGGGAAGACGCCACCGTCATCACCGTCGGCTTCACTGCACATCACCCCGTCGCCGGACTTCACCGACTCTTCCCCGATCGTCGCTGCTCGTGTGCAGCCTACACCAGCGAACCTGATGGAGGCCACTGGATCTTCCACCCCTGCGGTCTCAGGTTTGGTACCCTTTCCCCTTCTCTCCTTGTCTCTCTCTAGACTGTTCTAGATGTATTAGGATCTACCGTTTTACATGTTATACCGAATAGGACAGTCAAAGGCTAGATCTATGATCCAACAGTTTTAACATTGGTATCAGAGCCACGGTTTAGGTATAGATCTGGCTTAAGGAAAAGAAATCCAGTGCGGTTTTAGAAAGTAGAAAGGGGCTTCGGCCGACAGAGGGTTCGGTTGAACCCTAACTTCGATTTTTTTCGGATCTGAGAAAAGCTTTTGATTCGGATGAATGAAACCCAAACCCTAACCCTAGATTGGGCACGGGAAAAGTCGGGAACAGTTTGAGACACGGTCTCAACAAAGAATCCTAGCCCTAGCAGTTCGCCAGTCTAGGGTTTAGATCTAGGTTTTCCGAATCAACAGCAACGAAAACCGAATGAAAAGAAAAGTGGAGTTCGAATGAGATTCGGATCCAAAAGAACCAAACCCTAACCCTAAAGATAGGGAGCCTACCTAGGCTTTCCTCACCGCCGACGGCATCGCCACCGCGCGGAAAGAACACCGCGGCGTCGCTCCCGAACGGCGCGCGGGACAGAGCAGAGATCCGTGCACCTCGCACGCGCGGTCACTGCAACAGGGCACCACCAAGCGGCCCCTCGACGGCGGCGTGCTCAGCCTCGGGCGAGCACGCACGCCGGCGAGAGGGCGCTGGGCGGAGCCCCTCTTCTTCTCTCTCGGCCACCGAGGACGGCTGCGCTGTGGATGACTCTCTGAGCTGCGCTGCGCGATGAGAGAGAAGGGGAGGGAAAGAATGGCCGCTAGGGTTGGCTGACCGCGGCCGGGGGCGGGTTTTGTTCACCCGAAGACGCCACGCAGCCGTCCGATCGGCTCCAACGGCGCCAGATGCTCGGGCCGGCGATGCGGCCCAGGCGGGCGCACGCGGTCGACCAGCTTTGCCGGCCCAGGCCCAGGTTGCGGCCTGGGTGCGGCCGGGCGTCGCGCGAAGGAAGTGGGCTGGGCCGCTTTGGCTGTTGGGCCAACAGAAAAGGATTGGCCGAAAAAAAAGAGGCCATGCGGCTGGGCCGCTTGGGGCGCACGCGTTGGGCTCCGCGAGCTGGGCCGTGCGTGCGTTGCTGGGCCGAAATGGCCTGTACACAGTATAGCTCGGGAACTGTTTATTTGTTTTTTTTCAGAAACTGTTTACTTCATATTTGATGAATTTGAATTGATTTTGATGTCAAATTTTGTGCAAATTTTGATCCAACGACAATTTTGCATAGAGAACAGAACAGTACCTTTATGTTTCTGGAAAAATGATTATTGAATGTTAATGTTTCCGTTGCGTATTTAAAGATGCAATTTTCATTATTAAATTCGAACCAACGGGAGAATTTAATTTTGAAAATGGATATGTTTTAATTGATTATAATATTATTATTATTATTCTGACCAACGTTGATTAATGGCAATATTATAATGTTTTTTTGTCTTGCATTAATTCTATTTCTGCCCAACGGTGATGTAGAATTAGTGTAGAGAACAATTGTATGTTTTAATTTTGACCAACGTTGAACTAAGGCATGCAATTGTTGTTGTTATTATTTATGTTCTCACACTATTTGAATTGTGTTTTCAGGCGGATACAACTTGATGAGTTGTATCAAAGAGATCCCCACTCTAAAAAGGGATAACTACATTGAATGAAAGAAAAAGATCGACTTGGCCTTCATATTGGCTGAGGTGGACTGGGTAGTCACCACACCGTATCCCAAAGAACCTGTGGCACCGGTGAGGGAGACAGATGAGACTGATGCTCATGGCAGAACAAAGAGCGGGACTATGCTCCCGTAAAGATGTCTTTTGACCTTGAATATAGAAAGTGTGTCACAGCCAATAAGAAATGTTTGGCTGTGATAAAGAATATAATTGAGCCTGCAATAGTGG